CACCCAACAGTGAACACTACGCTGTCGGTTTTTGGTTGGCCTTAAGTGAAGGTAAGTTTAAGATTTTCAAAACCCTTTTATCTTAAACTAGGTCTAGCTTAAGGATTATTTAGGATTACTTTATATTGGAATATAGTTTAATAATTTAAACTAGAATTCATTTAAGGGTTGACAAATATTAAAGTGATTTGCCTTAGACTAAGTATAGTATAAGGATATGGTTGAATATTGAATATGAATAAATATTGAATTGAATATTGTGGTTATTATGAATGACGGATAAAATGTGAAAATAATATAATGAATGTTGAATATTGACTTATGATTATTGAGTACCTGAACTGAACATTATGTGCATGATATCAAATGGGTTTGATTATGAATTTAGATTCAGTTTATATGGATGTTCGACGCATTAGATATGCTTACTCAGCTTAAACGCTGAGCGTGTAGTATAATTTATTTGCTACACGCAGGTAAACAAAAAGAATGAAGAAATGATTTCCTGGAGGCAGATGGTACGAGAAAATCGGACGGATGTGTGTTTTGCATTTAATTTACTGTTGAAAAGACATAAATTAATTATGTTTGTATTATGTTTTATTAAGCTTCCGCAACATTAAATTACTCCGTTACTATTTTGAATTATTTATTATGAAATAAAGTTTTAAATATTTGAAATATTTTAAATGTTTACGAATACCAAGTTTATACTTTAGTCCGAAAAGGGCTGCAGACCTGGACGGATTAGGGTGTTACACCCTCCTTCTCCACTAACTCGCCCAGTGACGCACAACCTACGGGGATTGGTCTAGCTTCATCCTCCAAGACTTTTCTATATTAGGGGTACTCAACCCTTCCCATTTCTCTGCCATTTTCCTTCAAATCTATTCTAAGAGGTAGCTCTAAGTGTAGAGAGTTCATTGGTGTTGTCCATAGAGTGAGATGTCGTCGGAGTTGGTAACAATCCTCGCAGGTTTGTAAATATTCATATAGATCGTTTCTACGTTCATAACGGTCGTTTGGTTGAGTTTTATGTTTGTCATGCTTGAAGAACCAAGAATCATAAACCTTGAAATTATTGTTAAAACTTCAAATTAACGATACCAAAATGATCTATGAACTTTGGAGAACATTTCTATATAATTTAATTGAAGTTTGATGGCTAAAAATGAAGTGTTTGAAAAATTGACTCGAGCGAGGTTGAAGATGACACTATTCAAACCTCGCGCAAACACGGTATCGAGGTACCACCTAGACGGTACAAGGGTACCGCCTGAACAGTAGGCCATACTTTGGTACGGTAGAGGGATACCATCACAAGCCAAATTCTTCTAGCGGTACCTGACACCAGGCGGTACCCCATACCGTCTAGGCATTATTGAGGTACCGTGCACCAGTACCAAGGTACCGTAACAGGTACCTTTTAATCCGGGTTATTTTCCACAAACCTGATTTTTGAATGGTAAAATCCTATTTTTGATACCATGCAACTATAAATCAATGCGAATATCATTTTCAAACTAAATTTGATGTTTTAATAAATTTAAGAACTTTATCTAATGCATGACGGTAAGCTAGAGTGTTAACACTTGATGCTAGACCGCTATTTGTTACGGAGTATTAAATATTATGATAATGTTTATTTTTATTGATTGTGATAATCGAACCATGATTAAATAAATAATGTCTTAATCAAATGAAGATGATAAACAATCAAGGCAATCTAGAAGAACTTTAAGATAGACCACATGTGAATTAGTTAAGTTGGGCCTTGCAGGTATGAAGTTTGGGGTCCGGGTTAAAACGTACTTATGTGATCTACAAATCAAACTAGAAGATAACTCATTTGGAGATACCACCCACCCGACAGTGAGTAGTTCGCTGTTCAGTTATCTTAGCGTGTCCTATAAAGACTTGTAAAATAGATCAAGATTTTGTGTTCTGCCTTAGACTATGAATAGTTTAAGAGCATTTTTATGATTTGGCTTTAGACTAAAAATAGTTTAAGAGCATTTTATGATTTGGCCTTAGCTTACGCTAAGCATAATTTAAGAGCAATGTTCACATAATTTAAGTGCATGATATCAGATGATTTGATTATGAATTGTGATTCAATTTATATAAATGCTCGATGCATTAGATACCTTTACTCAGCTTCAACACTGAGCATGTAGTATGACTTATTTGTTACACACAGTTAAACGAAATAAAGAATGATGTGATTAATCTTGGTGGCAGATGGAGACACAAGATGTCAGATGGATGTGTGATGGTTTTGAACTATTCAAAAATTATTTCAAAAATAAATTAATGATTATGATGTAAAATTACTTATTCAGCTTCCACAATTTGATACTATGTTACTGTTTCTAAATATTTTATGATGATGAAATAAAGTTTTAACTGTTGAAATATTTTAAATTTTTACAATACCAAGTTAATACTTAAAGTCTGAAAGGGACTGCAGACCTGGACGAATTTAGGGTGTTACAAGCGGGCCCTTCCTTGGCTTGCCTTGAGCACGACCGAGCGTGCCCCCCTCCCGTTGTGCCTTCTATTGCTTGCGGTCCGAAAATGGATCTGGTCGAGCTCGACACTTATGGACCCGGGTCTCCCGGCCTATATCGCCATCAACATCAATATTATGCTACTATTGTCCTTGAATATTTGTCTTGTTTTGACTTTTAGTTTTAACATTTGACTTATAATTAAAAAATAATTGTATGGTATATTAAATAGATTAAATAATATTTTTAAAATATTTTATAAAATGAATCTAGTAGTATATTTTGTATCAATGTCTAATATTGGTTTTATTTAAGTAATGGTCAAAATTTATTAATTTGAACTATAAAAAAACAATTGAAACTAGGACAGGTAATATAATAGAGTGCTAGTTTACACTATTGTTTACTCCCTAAATTTAGAAATATAGCGTAACAAAATAAAAATTTTCAAAGATACACTCACAATCTATTTTTGTGTTGATTGGTTTTCAACTTGAACCTCAAAAGAAGTTAATGTTGCATAAACACTATGTAGAAATCAACAATGTATGGTAATATAAGAAAATAGATAATCAAAAGTTATGGTTTATATATTCTAATTTAAAAACAATTGAAACTTTAAAAATTTTAAAAATAAAATTAATTAAGGATCAGACTTGGAACGGTCCAAACTAGTCCAAAATAGTCCCTACTTTTTCAGGAAAACTAGATTAGTTTGGATCAATTGTAAAAAACAAAGATAGAACCGATCCCATCGTAAATAATACGAGTCAGGCCTTCTGCTCATCCCCATTAGAACGAAATAGATTAAACTATCTGCTTCCATTATATTTGAAGGGGATGAGACAATCGACAATTTCTTCTACTACTATATTAACTTATACCACCCAAAGATCAATGGTGGCCCTAGCACTGTAAAACAATGCACACAATAGAATACATTTCTTTCAATCTTAGGGTTCAAAAACATATAGAGTTGCATAGATCTTTGAAAAATTCAATAATATGAACAAAGAAAAGTTGTAAAAACATACATATGGTAACAATCAAGCCCCAACACTCATTACAGTCATTACAAATCAAGCTAGTTTCTAGTATCAACTAAGCGGTTTAATTAAAAACTATGACATATTACATATATGTATGCCCGCTCAATCTTTTAATCATCAGTTTCTAAACACAACAACAAGATGTTGACACCAGGAAACATTTAAAATTTTCACACACAAAAATAACCAGTAAGTTTTTTTTGAAGATTCTTCATCACGATCATCTCACTGCCTGCTGCTGCTGCTGCTGCATAGGTGGATATAGATCCTTGCACAAATTCTTGACATTATCTGCAGCAGCAGTTGCCCTCGTCACCGAACGAGGGCGAAGTGGGCTCCATTTCCTCCCGCACGACCGAAAATCCTCAGACGAATTCCTCTGGATGCTGCTGCTGCTTCTATCATCACCGCCACTGCCACCACCACCATTGTTACATGACCTTCTCTGCTGTTTTTTGAACTTCGCCTTAATCGACTCCGTGGGAATCATGTAGTTCGGTATGCTGCTGCTGTTGTTGTCGTTGCTGGAAGGCGACATTGGCGAAGGACTGCTTGTCGGGCTGTCACTGTTGTTGTTACCCAGGTACCATGAAGAAGAACACTGGCTTGTTGTTGTTGTTGTTGTTGTCGTCGCGGGTGGCGCTGTAATTCTGGTGGAAATGTTGTTCCTCTTTATCTTCACACCTGAGAAATTACTGTTGTTGTTGTGGTGTTCAAGATTTGTGCTGCACTCCCATGGCTTAGTTGCCACCCAACGGTCCAGCCAGCTGTTGTCCCCTTCCTCACTCTTCTCCACCTTTCTTGTGCCTCTTGGGTTTGAAGGGCTTAAATTGGTTCTTGTTTGCTGCAAATAGAAGCAATCTTCTTCCTAAGAAATTCAGATATATATGGACAACACTAACTTTGAAAAGAGGCAATGTGTAATAAAAATAATAATATACAGTACCAGCTTTGCATTGGCATAAGAAATAGCTCTCTCCCTCTTCATTGCACCTTCTTGCTTCTTCTGCAACCTCTTTCTCGCTTCCTCTACTGTCCCCGGGCTGTCGATCCACCCCTTCTGCAAATTTCAATGTATTTATGAGTTGGGCAATTGAATAAACTTAATTTTGGGAAGGAGACAGGGCATAAATCTACCTCATCGGATGGTTGTTTGATCGGATCGACGTTGGTTTGGGAAGAGGATTGAGCTTTAACCCGAGCCTGAGCCCGAACAAGCGCCTGCATACACCTCAGCGTCACCGCCGCTTGCTTTCTCACCTGCCTCCCCCGAAATATCGCCTGAATCCTCACCACTCCTCGCAGCGCCCTCAAGGCCTGTCTCGCCTTCAATTTCAGATCAGCAAAATGTTGTTATCATCATCATCATAGCAAACCAGTGAGAGAGTTTATGAAACTACGGTTATGGTTAGGGTTAGGGTTCTTATTACTGGCTGCTGAGACTTATGGATGAATAGAATGGAACGAAAACTGTTACCAGAAATCCGCGAAATGCCGTCTGGATCCGGATCGCGGCCCATTCCTGCTTCATCAAGACGAATTCCTTGTGCGGAGCCCTAACTACCGTCGCCATGGCTGCCGCCAAAGCGCTGTCGGAGACGAAGGAAGATATGGATCCCTCAGAATCCTCCACGTACTTCTCCGATTTCCCCGCCCGGCCGCCGCCGCCGGACCCGCTCCTCCATAGCTTCCACACTCTGCAAGTCCCTCCCTCCTTCGCCTAGGCAATTTGATATTTTTAAATTAAAAATAATAGGAAAAAATCAAAATAAAATCATATGAAAATATGATTGTTTAACTCACAGTGGCGTATTTGGACTGGGATTTCTTGAGATTGATCAGCGATTTGATCCAATTTCCAGAAGCTCCCATGGCAATTCTTCTTGCTGGACGAAAATGAAGTGATTTTCCGATTAAATTTCTCTCTGAAACTGAAGGAAAAAAATTACAAGGGAAATGGAAGTTGGAGAGTGAAAGAGGGTTAGTGGAGCGTGGAATATTAAGGGAACGTTTGGCGTGGGACTGGTTTGAATTTCGAAATTTGAAAATACAAAAAAAAAAAGTCAAAGAGCCGTTAACGGCTAGCATTCGGTCCTGCTGTTTGCGGATTACGACGTAGTTTTAGTTTTTCTTTTTTAAAATGGAACAAAATCTGCAAAAGGTTAAATACTCGTATTTATTTTTAAAGATGTAAAAAAGTACACAAAGAGGCACGAGCCAACACATACTCATTGTCCCGCGATTCATTATGCTGGTTCGGTGGTGATTCAAAATCAAGATTGGCTCTATTCAAAATTCACGTAATGAGCTTTATTTATTTTTTTTAAAGAGTACTTAGTACTCTAAAGTTATTGCTGAATTTGATTTTTTTTAAACTAACAGAATTCATTAAATAAAAAAAGGCAATAAAGTTATAGGGAATGACAGTGCATTCCCCCTCTTCAGTGTAGAGAATGAGACCCGCACTTAGAATAATAAACATCTAGCGATATTAGACCCTAAAAATTTGAGAGCTCTGTGTAAGTGTGCCGACCTTGCACACCCTCTGGGCCATCCATCTCCATACTCATGTTGGAAACGTGACATGCAAATTAGTCTGATTAAATAACTTATACCAAGGTCTAGTAGTTAGAAGGAAAATATTTTCTAAAAAGAATACTTTAATTTTTAAAAAATATCAAAGAAAAATTATTTCCCCCCTACCGTTTTCATTTTTGGGCAAGGTGAAAATTACTTTTTCCAAAAAAACATTTTTAAATGATAAAATTTCAAAATTCATATTAAAAAAATGTTATAAAGATAACTTTAAACTATTTTACCAATATGGAGCGGGCGGAGTAGTGTATGGGTGTTGGTGCACGGGGTGTTGGGTGTTGGAATTTTCTTTCGAAAATAAACAAAAATCTTTATCTCTTTGATGGGAGAAAATATTTTTAATGAAAAATATTTTTCCACTAATATTTCTAAACAAGAGAAAATGAATTAAAATTCTTCAAGTAAAAATTTTCATTTCAACCAAACGAATAATCCTAAATAACAAGGCAAGTTCTATCATGGGTGATAAATAGATGCCTATTTATATTCTGTTCTACAAGTTGGTTTAAGTTTTTATTTTGACTCTTTTTTTGTTACATTAACGCTCTTACAATCGCCACAATGATCGTAAATTTTATAACGGCATTTTCGTAGTGGCACTAACCTCGTTAACTTTGTAAGGTACTTACGATGTCTCGTTCGTAAAATTAGTGGTTTTACCTTCTGTTAGTATTCAAACGTAGGAGGATCCAATAATGAGAGAAAAATGCTCCGAGATGCGTATATCTATGATGAATTAAGATGATGAGATGCGTATATCTATGATGAATTAAGATGATGATTACAAAGCATTTGGGAACTATATAAAAAGGCCTTCTTGTAACTAATTAACTAACTTCTTAACAATATTTTGGTTAGTAAAAACACATTCTGTAATGTTTACTGTACTTATATGCAAACATTAAAACAGTTGATGTTACTCAAAAAATGAAAGGAAAAAAGAAGTGATATTTTAGGATTTTCAGTTTAGTTTTAGTCCCATGTAGGGCTCTGTCGGGAAAACCGAAAACCGAACCGAAATCGATCGAAACGAGCTAGAAAAAAAACCGAACCGAAAAACCGAAACCGAATGTAAAAAAACCGAACTGAACCGTTATTGTTTGGTTTCATTTTGGTTTTTACTTTGAAAAACCGAACCGAATCGAATAAATCGAACTTATTTATATGCTTCATTTTATTTATATCAGTATGTGTGATATGCATAAAAATCATATAAACAAAAATGCAAATAAATTACTAGTCAATTAAAGTTTTTTTCTTAACTATTAATTAAACATTTTAACCATATTATAAACTTTAATAAATCTAAGAATATAAACACCAATAACTAATCCTAATATAGAATTATATTACATTAAAAATTAAAATGTGTAGTTAACATATTTAAATAAAAAAAACTTTGATGTTATAATGAAAATAAAAGTATTATATAAAAAAATCCAAATTCTCTGCAATTAATTTTACATACAATATCTTTAAGATTATTTAGAATCTTCTAGATGTTTGTTAGGCACTTGACACATATTTTGTATATAAAATTGAACCAATGAGAACACTAACCTTCGGCTCGGCTTTTTTTGTGTGTAAAAATCAAGCAAAAAACCAAACCCAAACTTACGTATTGTTATTGCTTCGTCGAGTTAGTATTTATACAATTTTTAATGCTTATAAATATTTACTTTTATAAACCGAAAAAACCGAAAAAAACCAAGATAAAAACCGCATAAAACCGATCCGAATAACCAACGGTTTACATATTTTTTATGCAAAACCGAACCGAACCGCCAACTTACCTTCTGTTTTGTCTTTGGTTTTGGGTAAAAACCGAACCGCCAAAACCGAACTCACCCCTAGTCCCATGTTTAATTTAGGCTCTAATTGGTATAAAGAAACATTATTTTAGTCCTATATGTAAAATTTTCTCATAGATAGAACCCAGATTTTTCTTCTGTTTTTGCAGTATTTTCACCTCTTGTTTATAAAACCTTAGCTATTATCTTTAAGAATATAAATTTTAGTTTTAAATTTACATTAATATTTATATAAAATAAATTAAAAATAATTTTAATCAAACATCGTAACCCAAAAGAAATAATTTAAATTGGGACGGAAGAAATACTATAAGCCCAACCTTCTTTATTACATGCAAGACAAACAAACACACCAAATCACTCGTTGTGCTAAATGGGAGAATATGATTTTAAAAAAGACACACTAATACATTCAATAACTCTATTCTGAGAGTAATGAGTAAATATAACTGTCATACTCTTACAAGGCTTTTTTTATCAAACGAGAGGGACGATAAAAATGTGGTAAAAATACAACTTACAAACAAGACTTATACAGGATAGAAGAAGTTGAGATTAGGATAAGGTACACACTTTTCACTAAACAAGCATAAATATAATGGTGATTTTCAAATCAAGGGAAGCATATATGCATTTTGCGCATTCGCTTCGCCGAAGGGATGCGAGTAGGATCGGAAGGAAGTTAGTGGCAAATGGTCATTTTTCAAATCAAACGTTACGACCCCGAGTCCCCGACACACTGTGTACATTTATCTTGTAATAAATGTACAATAAAAAAAGAAAGAAAAGAATAGGTATTAGCTGGTTTAAGACTAAAGGGTGTGTTCAATGGTTTTCATGTAAGGCAGTTGAGATCCACTCGGAAGCAGCTGATCGTATATCCTCATGTTCGTGCATTGGCAAACATATCGGAGTGACTGCAACCTGCAACAATTTGATACATTAACCGGTTGAAAATCTATATGGTTATTTTAAAAGTATTAAAACGTAACGTCTAGTGTCAACAATGAAGAACAAAAAAAGTGATGGCAAAGGAGAATATAAACACTTACAAATCCATTATTGAGTGCTCGGAAATCTAAATCCTCATCCTCTTCTTCCTGCTTCTTCTCAAGTAACTGCACCCTCAAAAAAACCCTTTTAATCCTATATTTAGTACAGAGTATATTATACTGGTAACAAAAAAGAGAAAGTGAAGTTGAAGAATGTGATGACTATCGGGACAAAGTGGCAAAAATTGTTACTAGAGTTTAATAGCATATTATAGACAAAAGCAAAAAGAGGGGTATATCATTTCCACCCCACCCCAAAGGAAAACCCCTTATTTTCCTCCCATAAGTATTTCTTATGCTACTATTTGTTAAGGAGGATGTTATGTATTGATTCCTGATGCAAAAAAAGGAGGTAATTCTAATTCGCAAAGAACCATTGTATCAAAAAAGTTGTATGTTATGCAACAAAATAAACCTCACCTCCAATCTAAAGTACTTTACTGTTCGATTGGGATCGGACTTTCCAGCGACACCAACTGACTCAACAACCTCTATATTCTTCTTCTGTGTAGTGAAACGGCGTGCAGCACCCTAGTAAAAAATGAAAGAAAAAAGAAACCGTTTAATAGCTCAAGTTATAGAAAGAGATATTGCAACTGCCAAGGCCAACAAATGCGGGAGAAATAACCTCCTACTGAACTACTACACACCCAAGCACTTCAACCATACTGCTAAAATATGATGCCAATTCCCAATTCCATTCAAACGATACTACAACTAAGAACGGACAGGAGTCGTATGTGCAGCATTGTGTCCCCTCATCATCAATGTATGCTATTTACTGTTTATGTTTTAAAAAATTGCAATAAAAGAATAGGGAAATTTAAAATTAATATTTCTACATACAGCAGCAGATGCATCTCGGCTAAGCTGAGCAAGTTGAAAGCCAAGACTTTGCTGGTTAGAGAGAAACCGTGATGCAGCAACATTCCTGTTAGCTGGAATAGCATTCCAGCTAAGGGTAGATCTCCAAAGGCTTGGCTTGGTTAATTTGAACCCCTGAAAGAAAAAAAAGGGTTATAACAATATGAAGGGCATTGCCCGTACTGAATTAAGCAAGTAATGGCCCACTTTCAGGCATGTCAAAAGCAAACCTTGTTTGTCAGCGGAGCAGTTGGGACTTCCAAATTGAGCAAACAGCATTTGGGGAAAATACCCTTCTCTATATCCCTAATAGCCGCAGTAATAAAAGGCAAACAAACACTTGCAGCACCGCTGAAATCACTCTCCTGGCTTTCATTGGTCTTCCTAGAAGAGTATAACCAAACGGTATTAGATTACCAAGTGTCATCATGGCAGAATAGCAATAAAGGGACAATAACATACCAGTTCAGAGATATTGATATGGATGGAACACCATCAAGCAATGCCTCCCTCGCTCCTGCTATAACACCCGAATAAAACCTAGAGATAGCAAAGCAATTTGCATTAAAGAAAGTGCAAAAGAGAAACAGGAATTAAAACCCCAACGAGTAGAGAGCCAATCCATTTGCAAATTCATGTCAATAACATTTTTAAGGCATACATCTAACTTCATTTCAGTCCAGCAGTATACATATATGGAATCACTGGCCAGTAAAACAGAGTACGGCTTACATGTGATTGCCACAGCTTGAACCCCTGTTGATTCCACTAATTACCTGCATACACGAGTTTGGGAGCGGGTGAGGGCAGCAGGAGAAAATAGGAATATAGGATAACCAGACTTTACGTCAGTAGTGGAGGATAGTACAACCCCCAACTATTATGTTTTTCTCTTTCATGCAATAATAACATGGGAATAACTCACCAATAGAGGCTTTGACCATGAAAATAGAGCACCAGATAACGCCAAAGAGACACAGTCCACAGGAGTCCCTACAGCGCATTTGAAATCACAAATTTGTATTGTTAAAAACAGTATAAGAAAGTTCCTGACATATCAGAAGATGCCCATTCACACAAAACTTCAGTGCTTGCGCAAAATGAAGACATGCTGATGCACAATTATGCATGTACGAAAATAAGCACCGGTCTAAGAGAATAAAAAACCAATAGCAGGAAAAAACAAGTGTCCTCTTACCAGAAACTTCATAAGCAGTTGCACCTTGAATATCAACTGCAGTTACTGCAACAGTATCTCTCAGTGTAACAGAATGGCCAGCTACAGATTTATCTCTACCAAACGATCCAAACAAAAGCATAATTATGAAATGGCACAAACATCAAAAACGTGCCAAGCATCTGGGTAAAAAATCACACAACTCAGCCATGACATCCAAATCAAACCTTTATCCATAACTAATCAAGAACATATAACAAACTATTAGACTAGAGGGAACATATCACCCTAATAAATCATTAAGATATGGCTAATCAAGGGGAGATATGCATTGGGAGCAGAACTAAATAAAATGCCTGATTAATCTATACCAAATCAGCAGAAGCTCTTACTGCACAAAACCTAAAATACTACTATGTAAAATGACATTTTAAAAGCACAAAATTTTCTTATGACCATAGAGTTCATATAAGTCTAAGTCTCAAGTTAGCAACAAATAACACTCTCTTTGTAACATATTTTTTTTAGAATAATACGGAGCATAGTATATGAATATGAATCAACGGTTGAGGAGAGGACTCACGATTGCGGAGCCAGAACATGGACATTGTAGATGCCCAGCTGAACCAGAGCATCCACGAGAGAGGTAAGGCCAGGGGACTCAATCCCATCGGCATTGGTCACGAGGACAATAGGCTTCGAGCTGTCGAGATCGGCAGCTGCACCGCCGGAATTCGAACTAGAAGATGATAGCGCCGGCGAATCATCCTTGTCGGGCTTATGTTGTCCTTCTCCGGTGGCGGCACCCACCTTACGGCGGAGAAGCACCTGTTCGAGATTGGAGACTAGGCCGGAAGGCATTAAACCGTTCTTCAAGGCAGATGTGGTCATTTCCAAAGAGAGAAATGCGGTGGTGCAGATGAAAAAAAAAGATGAAATTGAAAAGGAGGAGATAAGATCGGAGATGGAGAAGAATTCAAAAATCAAAACCCTAATAAAGAGATAAAAGATAGAAGAAAAGGAGAGCAATAAAGCGCTGGGAAAGAAAAGGAAGATGATGACCGGTTCAAACGGCGATTGTCTGCAGATTGTTGTTGAGATAGAAAGGAGATTAGAAGTTTCTCATGGCGGAGATTGAGTAATGTTTTAAACTTTTAACATTTTGAATTAGATAGGAGTACAAGTAAATGCTACTCCAATTAATTTTTAGTACTAATAACTCTATGATAATTATAATTTTTGTGAATGGATTATTAATTTTTTTTCATTTACGAAACATTAAAGATTAGTGAAAAATAATTACATTGTGATTTGAATTTGATTTTGAGTGATGGATTAGATATAAGTTATTGCATTTTAGGTTTTAATTTAGTTTATTAGTGTTTGAGAAGTAGAATTCATTTGAAATCTTAGATTTCAATTCGAACATTGGAAATTCCATAATTTCAAATTCATTTCAAATTTAGAATTTGAATTTTAAAGTCAGTAAAGACGGTAACGGAAGCAGATTTATATGTATGGAATTGTTATTATATAAGAGAAGATCGGTTTTTAATTACAAGTTTTAAATTAAAGAAAAATTAAGTTTCAATTTGTAAATGACATGGGGAGGGGTGTGGATTTGTAGTTGAGTTAGATTTGAATTAGAAGAATTTGGTTCAAATCTAAATCCAAATTCTTTAAGTTTCCAAACAAGTAATTTGAATCAAATCTGGATTTAAAATCCAAATTCAAAAATATCAAAACACACCAGGATTGGATATGATTTAAGGGTAGACCACTAAAGCATACTCTTTACACACCTCATTGCTCTCTTTGTTTGATCTGACTAGACTCGTACCCGTGTGATGTACGGGCGGTTAATTTACATATATTTAGTCAATGTTTGGAATAATAGAAAATGTTACAAAACCAGAAAGATTACATAATTTAATATTATTCCCCATAAAAAGAATTTTATACGGTAATGAGCAAAGTCGATATGAAGTGTTAAAAGTTTTGGAACACTTCTTTATAAACTACATTCGTAGAGAAAGATACATTGCTAATATTTATCCTTCTAAATTTAGAATTTCATAACAAAAATCTAACATTCATTATAATCATTATATGCATACAAACATGGAAGATATGATGTTTTACTTAAAAAATTAACAATAAAAGAAATACGTTGTCCATTTCTTGTAAGCGTAGTGAATGATACATTGCTAATATTTATCGTTTTAAATTTGGAATTACATAATAAAAAACTAACATTTGTCATATTCAAAATAGACATAAATAATTAACATTATAAAAATTCATAAAAACAACATGTATAAAAATATATTAAAAATAATATATTATTTTTAATAGAATTTTATTAAAATAAATTTTTAAATATGTTAAATAAAAAAACAAAAAATGGCCCTATTTGACCGCAACCAACCCGATTAAATCTTTAATTGAATCTGAATTGAAAAATTAAATATGTGAAATTGACCCATCAAAATTAAATCCAAACCCGAGCTAAATTGGGTCGTAATTGAATATACTCAAACCCATTGGAGTGAAGCTCCCTTGCTTCGTATAAATACATGAGTTAGTAGAGGGGGGGAATCTATTGTATTAAATGGTCAACTACTATAAGATTTGTTCAATCTATAGATTTAAATGAGCCAAAATAAATTAGCCTCCTAAAAAGTAATGAAAGGTGTTAAATTAACGTGCACACGCTGCCCAAAAAAGTTGAATTAATGTGCACACGCTGCCCAAAAAAATTATTTTCATATTTTAGGGAGCCACGCACCAATTTAATCACTTTTTGGAGCCACGCGCCACTTTAATCACTTTATGGAGCCACACGCTACTTTAACTGATTAGACAACTCATCAATTGCTACATCAAGACCCGTTCCATTGGCCGGTTAACAGGCCAGTGACATTCGGCCCACTCAAACAGCCACAAATGGGCGGGAACATGGTTCAAAATGGAATCCTAACATTGTATATAGTTAGATTAGACTTTATCTAATTTTATTAAGATTTAATCATATCTGATTCAAATTATATTTAATTAATGATAATTTTATAAAAAGTTAAAACTAAATAACATAAATTTTACAAATGTCTATATAAATTTTACAAATGTCTATATACAAATGTCTTATATAGAGGATTAAAATAATTTAATCAATAGTTTTCAAAAAAAAATCAATCTGTCTATAAGGCATGGGATCCAATAATAAGAGTTCACGTGGAACTTAAAAAAACACCTTTTACGTATTTAGGCCCATATCTGGCTCTAACAAAATTATAGAAATGGACAAAATAGAAGATTGTGCAAAGAAGAAAGGATATATTGCCTTGGAGGAATATCAATTCCAAATTCCTTTCTTTCACATATCAATCTATCATAGTGATGACATGGCATATCAATTCCAAATTAATTACTGTTCAATTTTGTCTGACAATTACAACCTTACTGGAAGAGGATCTTATGGCTAGTACCTCTAAATCCGTTACTTTAAAAAGGAAAAAAGTTTGGTTGATATTAGGGGTGAGCAATGACCGAACCGATCTCGATATTTTCCGAAAAAATTGAGAATACCGAACCGAAAAATATCGAACTAATAAAATACGGAAAAGAAATCGAACCGTACCAAACCGAACGGTCGGTCCGGTATTTGGGAGCGGTACAAGGTTACTTCCCATACCGAAATCCCGAACCGAACATATATACTAATATATTATAAAAATAATAATCTTTTATAATTCTTCATTAAATAAAAAATTTATATAAACAATTTAGTTTAAATTCATTATGTTTAAGTTGCACTTTAATAAGAGTATTTTTATTTCGAATATTAACAAATATTTGAAATAATACTTTGTTATCACTCGTTCTCTTTAGTTTGTGAAATATAAACTAACTTTCATAAACATTTCTTGCATTTTATTTTTTCATTTTTAATTTTTTTATCTTTCTTTAGTTAAATGTACTTTCGATTTTTCAAAAATAAAAGGTTTTGTTACATTTTATGATGTAAACTAGGTACGTATATATTCATCCCGATTCGTACCTGATGGGAAATAATACGTGGCTCGGCCCACATTTCCCAATTATTTACGAAGAACGGTTAAACCGGGCCTGTTTAATAAAATAGAGGAATAAGAGAATATTCCTTCGTAGATGCTCTCACCCTCTCCTATAAAAGGGAGGGTTGCCCTAATTGTTGAGGAGGCCAATTTCACTCCTCTCCTGCTACTTTCTCTCTCTAGATATTTTTAGAGTATATTTTTCCTTCTTCAAGAGCTTCTAGCTCCACCATTAATTGCTTCCGAGCCGAACTCTTGTACCGTGTACACACCCCCGATATTAATAAAAATCCCCCGTTGGCAAGGTACCGCCAAAAAAGGCCCGTGGTTTTCTCCCGATTTGGGTTTCCACGTCAAAATCCCCGTGTTTATATTTTGGTGTATTTTTAGACTAGTTTATCGTTTTAGCCGGGCTAAAAACGGTATACCGGTCGATAATTTACACCATCATTTTGGCGCCACCCGTGGGACACGAGCAAAAAGCTTCATTTTTTCGGCCATCTGACAGAGCCTAACGGGTGAGAAACAAAAAAAAAGAGGAGAAAACTTTGGATACTCCGATCAAGAAATTATTTTATTTTCTTAAAACTGAAATGGTTGAGAATTGAAAAAGGGGAAGAATAAATCAGTAGAGGAAGATGAAGACTGTCACTATTTTGGAGGGATCTGTGTCTTCGCCATGGAGATCTCACCGCTCGTCGCTGCTCAACCCTACCGCCACCGCTGCTCAAATCCACAGTCGCCGCCGCAGCTCAGATCCGTCGCCTCCGCTGCTGCTCAGAGCCGCCGCCGCCGATGCTCAAACCCGTCGACGCCACTACAAAGATTTGTCGTCATCCCCGCCACTGCCGACACTTGTGCGCCTCCATCACCAGATGGCTGTTTTTTTGGTCCCGCCGCGGCCGAACCCGTGAGCCACCACGGCAGAAAAAATCAACCCCGATAGAAGCCAATCATTGCCGCCGACGAAGTAAATCACCGACGCTGCTACAAAGATCTTTCGTCATCCCCGCCACTCTACTACGGGCTAATATCCATAGCCACTGTTCTTAAAAATCTACCGCTACATGAATCCGTGATGGGAGTTCACCAGCTTTGCGGTCAGAAGATATTCATCACCGTCGGGAAAGTCATCAGCGCCAGCCCCGGATCAGAACCATGGTGTGCCGGTTGTAGAGCAACGGAGGGTCCCATGCATTGAGATCTAGGTCGGGCATGCAAGCGGTTTTCCTTGGCAGGTCGGGTTACGCTACCGGCAGTGCCTCGAGTAGTAGGGGACAGGCATTTTCCTCTTCCACGGAATCAGATGAACGGATCCGGATCTTGGAAATCTAGGTGAATCGAAGCACCCCTAATCGCCAATCTAAATCCCCGGTCCACCAATTGCAGAGCACCACTGGCGCCTCCATTCGCCGTGCGTCATCCACTCCTCGCCGCTCATGCCGTCCTGCCCGCGCCCGCACCCACCGGAGAGCAAAAGTTCGTGGTCTCTATGTTCTGATTAAATCTGCGGCACTGAAAATCTCACTGAAGGATGTTGTACTCCATTCACCTTCCTTTCACGCCATAGAGGAAATGGGTCACTGAAGATTCCATGTGCTATGTTCTTTCCAACAGTGAGATACATAAAGTAAAAGTTGGGAAGAAAGAGGAATCCAATGTTTCAGATGGAAGATGGGTTCATTTGCCATGACAACAAAGTAATGACAACGAAGGAAGGCAAATAATTTATGTGGGCTCATTTAGGAAATAATGGAGTACCTAATCTAGAGAGGAGAATGGCATGGGCTACGTGGTTCCTTTTAACTTTATCAAAAAGGCCACTATTTAATATGGGGACCCCTCTCTAGAGTGATATGGAGTAATGGGAGAATCAATTTTCTCCACTTGCTTTTCGAAGTCGGCACGCCGGTTATTACACTGGTCTTGCTCAATACTTTACATAGAAAGGAAGGAAGATTGAGACACAAGCCGAGCTTGGTACGCTGGTTACGACACCGGTCTTGCTCAGTATTAAAAAAAAAGCGGAAGACTGAGACACAGGCTCGGCCTGGCACGCTGGTTACTACACCGGTCTCGCTCAGTATAATAAAAAAAATTAAAATATGTGACACAGGCCCGGCCTGGCACGCTGGTAAATATCATTCTTGTGCGCGAGACAGGCCAAGAATGATATACACACCGGTCTTGCACATATTTTCTCGTAAGTCTGACCCCAATCGAAATGGGTACACCGGTGGCTCAGCTGAGCCCTTATCGGGGACGCCCGATTCTTCAAGCCATTTGAACAAAGCACTCCGGAAGTGGTCTCTGCATGACATGAAGATATTTGCATCAGTTAGCCGGGCTAGCATCGATCTTCGACAAAGTTGCTGCAACATACTTAATTCGTATTAAGTAACATCGATTACTTCGATATACTAATTTTGCTATGTATCGTTTACTTAATCCGTACTGACATCAGTCTCGATGAAATAACTACTTGAAGCACCTCCGCTTCATCGTACTAACTCCGGTGTCGTATAACTACTCGAAGCATCGTTGCTTTATCGAACTGACATCGCTCTTGTTACGATAATTATTCACGCGAATTTTAACCACCCTAACACTGAGCTCCTCGGTAAAGATAATAATTATTTGAGCACGACATAGGCCGGTCAAAAAAATGTTGTACATATTATTTTTGCAGGAAGACCTTCTGATTCAAGAAATTAGAGAATTAATGAAGACTCGGAGGACTAGCAATAATATCTACCAGTCAAGAATTCAAAGTACGAAAACTGAAGATCACACTCGGAGGACTTGTTTACTTTTTTAAGTTGATGATTCTCACAACTCAAAAAAGTGGAGGACTTCTTGATGGGAAATAATACGTGGCTCGGCCCACATTTCCCAATTATTTACGAAGAACGGTTAAACCGGGCTTGTTTAATAAAATAGAGGAATAAGAGAATATTCCTCCGTAGATGCTCTCACCCTCTCCTATAAAAGGGAGGGTTGCCCTAATTGTTGAGGAGGCCAATTTCACTCCTCTCCTGCTACTTTCTCTCTCTAGATATTTTTAGAGTATATTTTTCCTTCTTCAAGAGCTTCTAGCTCCACCATTAATGGCTTCCGAGCCGAACTCTTGTACCGTGTACACACCCCGATATTAATAAAAATCCCCCGTTGGCAAGGTACCGCCAAAAAAGGCCCGTGGTTTTCTCACGATTTAGGTTTCCACGTCAAAATCCCCGTGTTTATATTTTGGTGTATTTTTAGACTACTTTATCGTTTTAGCCGGGCTAAAAACGGTATACCGGTCGATAATTTACACCATCAGTACCGAAACCGATACCGAACCGATGCTTCGAGATCAGGATCGGTAGAACGTAAAATCTCATATTGAACCGAAATATTTGGTACGCTATCGGTACGAGCTAAATACCGTACCACGCTCACCCCTAGTTGACATATTGATCAACAGTTTTAACTAAAATATGAACCAAAATTTAGGTGTGTAATTAGAGATTGGGGTGAAGGACAAGAAGACCATGTTCTTTTGGGGCAAGAAGACCATGTTTTAGTTTTATACCAACACAAAATGTTGGTGCAAATTTGCGGTGTACAAAATGGGGTACAAAAATTAAGGGCACAAATAGCTTTATCCAATATGCTAACGTGCTCAAAGTCTCAAATAGCCTGAGTGCCAAGACACCCAAATCTAACATACTCCCTCCGTCCCCAATTTGATTATAAATTGCGGGTTACGGAGTAAAATTTTTCTACTTTTTGAAATCACTTTATTTACAAATTGGTATATCAATAAGATATAAAAATTATATATTAAAAAACTACGTCAAAAGTTCTACAAAACAAGAGGTGACAAGAATATTTTATTTTATCAAATACTTAATAAAATCGCGTAAACAAACAAAAGTTATCGAGAGAAGAGAGAAAAAAAATTGTAATCTATTTAGGGACGGATGGAGTAAATAATACTCTATCCATCATAAAATTAACTTTTTAGTTTGTTTTTTGTAGTCAATTTTTTTAAACTTTGAGTGCATATTACGGAAAAAATACATTGAATTTTCAGATAAATTTTTTATCAATATATTCATTTCAAAACATAATTTTGAAATATATTATTTTTAAAATAAAGAGTATAACTGATTATTCTTATGAGTGGGCTAACGTACAGTGGGGGTTTATTGCTTTGAATCTGAGATGTGTGATGACGAAGTTGAAACCTAATTCAGATTCTGAGAGAGTTGTTGGTTTGGAATTTGACGGTGGACTTTTTTCTTGTTTCTGATTATTCTTTGAGTTTTTGTTCACTTAAGCGTAACAAATTAAGCAGGGCAAGAGATGCCACCGTAGCTTGTTGTGTTAATGCCACCGCCATGGCTCCTCCTTCAGGACATGACTTTTTCAAGGATAGATCTCTTCCGGCGCCGAAGACCCTCGTCTCCCCGATGCACTTTCGCATCGTTAGGCAGTACCGTGGCAACGATAACCAAGTACCGTGGCAACGATACCCAGGTACCGTGAACCTCCAGGTACTGGCAAAATATGCTTTCATTCTCTTTTTGGTTTCTAAATCAATGATATTCGAATTACTTGTTGTATGACTCTTATCTTGGATGATATGTATATATTCTTGGATCATTCCAAAGGTTGTGTATGCATTCATTTCATCACGCATGTTGTAGACGCATGATATAAGAATCTTTCATATCATAACATATCTGCTAAAGGGGTTAGGCCTAGTGCGCCTCTTATTTCTAGTCTCATTAGGAGACTAAGATTTTCCCGAGTCGTCGCCGTTGCGGGATGACGTCGGAGCGCAGAGGGGTCCCTGCATAGTCTAACTAATGTATCATATTCATATAATCATTATAAGATTTCCGTACTTTAAGTACATTCTTGGTACACTTGGTCATTATGAGAATCATGTGGTCATTATATGAATTCCGTATGTTAAATTTAGGTATGAACATGTGTCTATCTATATAGTTTATCACTATGCTTTCAACAACTAGTTTACCACTCAGCTTATGCTGAGCATATAGTGTTGTTTTGCTATACGCAGATAGGCTTGATGAAACTAGAGCCTATCCCGGAGGAACACGAGAGTGAGGAGATGTATGGATGGCCAACTATGGATTCCTTCATTTTTCCTTATTTATTACTCCCTCCGCCCCCCATAGATTTTCCCCCATTAGCCCCTTTTATTTATCCCCATAGATTTTCTCATTACTTTTTTTAACAATTAAATTACCACAATTATCCCCACTTACTTTATTTATTACACCTCACATACCTCATTTAATACACTCCACCCATTTTTATTAAGGGTATTATGGTAAACTTTCATCTTTTTTCAACTCTTCTTAAAAAATCACAAAAAGTCAAAACGAGAATATTTTAGGGAGACGGAGGAAGTATTTAAATCATTTTTGGGCTTGAACCCACTCTTGTTGCACTTAAACTATTTGGACTGGACATTTGCTTTTTCCTTTGCTTCCACAACTTTAACGTTTTACCTACTCCGTACGTTTTAGGAAATTAATCCCAAGTATTCAGTTTACATAAATCCAAATAAGGTCTTTATTTTAAAAGTGTTTTATCAAAGTTTTTATTTGGATGGTCCTTAATACCATCTCTGTGACCTCTCCGGACTGTCGGGTCGCGGTGAACCGGGTTCACGAGTTAGAGGGTGTTACAGAAAGTGTGTGGGAGGAAGAATCAGGCTTGAAGGACGATCCCTCTGCTTCTCTGGGGATGACCATGACTTTTATCGCTCGGCAGAGGCACTTCATGGCCCAGGGAAGGTTGTTTCGATTCCCTTGAAAAAGCACCCCGATTCCTTTTCTTTCCAAGAAGCCTATGGAGGAGGTTGCCCGTGTCCATATCCGTTTCTTCTTCCAACTATGAAATAAATTTGTTTACAAATTATGGCCAATAACCATGGGAGATAAGGAAGCAACATCAGAAAATTAATGAAACAAGGAAGCTTACCAAAGGGGCCGAAATGGAGATATCTCGGCGGGATGTCCCTTAGCAGATTCGGCTAAAGTCGATGTTCGTCATGAACAAACTTGAAACCAATGTTTGCCAGGGACTCCTCGGTTACCAGCTTCTCGACGTCAATTGGCCCCCTGGTGAAGGGAGATTTTGGCCCGGGGAAAGGATGCACCACTGGAAGCTATGAAGGGTGATTCTGGCTCGGTGGAAACATAGACGAAGAAGGGCTTCTAGTTGTGATTCGATCCCTTCTTATGGCTCGTAAATTTGAACAGCAAGATAAAATGTTCGAGAGAGGGGAAAACTTCGGTTGCCCGACACTTGAGCAAGAAACCCTCCATGTATTCATACGAGTTGGGGACCAGTTGGCAGGGTACAAGGGTCATGATGGTTGAGATACTCAACGACCAAACCATTGAGAAGAAAACGCAAGCTGCATTTTAAAGAACAAATGTGGATAGTAAAGAACCCGTTAGGGGCTTCTAGAGCAGTAGATGTATTTCTCGGTCTAAGAACCTCAATCATGGGTCCTACCATGTCTGCGTGGCAGATTTACCGCTAAAAGAGAGAGAGGAAACGGAAGACAATGGTGGAGTTGGTAGAGATCATGCCCAGCCGTCTAATTGAGAAGACAAGGCGAATCTGGCTCGGTTTCCCGTAAATGGCACGCGAGGGACACGTGACGGGCCTAGGGAGACTCCCCATCGCTTGAATGGCCCATTTCGAGGCATGATGAGTGGGGGGCTTATGATGGGCTATTGGGCCAATCGAGAGGCCAGCCCAAATGTGTAGTGGCAGCCCAAGATTCTGGCTAGACTGTAGAGAATTTGGGCCACTGAATAAGGACCCGACTGGGAGTAGGGCGGGTCTACTGTGACTGTGGTCCACCAAAGGCGTGCGGCCGAAGAAGTTGGGGCTGCAGCTAGGGTATAAGAGACGGTGATTCTTACGGATCCGCCTGAGAATCATGCATGATTTGGTTACCTTATTTATCACATGCCATAAATGTACTACATACTGGCTATAAATAGAGGGGGATTCCTTCGGAATCCTCAAGCTAAACCTAGCAATTCAATACCATAAGTTCTGCATTCTCAAGCTCTAGATATCCATTCTCAAATACTTAATCCGACCCCAGAGTTGGGTAATCTGGTGGAATTTTTGTCCATCATGTACCCAACATTATATGTTTACTTTAGTTGAATTGGTTTTTGTAATAACTTTTTTAAACTAATAAAATGTAATCGAATAGTTTTGGTCGTAAAATAGAAATATATCAATCCATTTAAATAATAATGGTACGATACGAGTTTTATGAAAAATTCGAATCATCATACACTACCTGCTAACGTCGTTGTCAAGTGTGGGGCCAAAGTTCCAAACTTTTCACATACCACTACATAGAAGTTGACTCAAAGAAGTTACTTACATAAAAGTGTGGAACCAAAGTTCCCAATTGATATAATTTTATAATAATTAGTCTTATAGAATAATGAAAGTTTCATCCTTATATATAAAGAATACATAGAGATTTCTATTAGAATGAAATAAGTAATTATGGTAACAATATATTTGGAAAGTAAATAATAATACTAAGTCCACATATCAATTATCATAGTGTTTTGCTTCCATGATTTTTAAGTCCATATATCAACTGCATGCCTTCTCATACTTTTCATAGACCGACAAAGGGATCTTTTATTTTTCAAAGAGCTTAATTCATCTATGGTGTTTATATATTAAGATCCATAAAATGAGTGCGTACCTTAAGACCACATAAGAATTTTCCTTTATCCTTATATTCCTAATATCCCTTTCGCAAACTAATCACTGGTAACGAGGAACAACTAGGAGTACAGATATTGGAATGAAGTCGGCAAAAGCGATTTTGTGAGGATAGCCGCTAGAAGTAGAGAGACCGATCTTCGTATCATGACAAACGAGCTTGAGAGGGAGTACGTGTTCTGATTTTTTTTTGTCCGTGGAGAGTGTTGACGATTGAAACGGTGGCAATGAGTTCATTTTTATGCTTATGGGTCGTTCTTTGCTTCTCTATTTCTTTCAATGCTCTCAAACTCTAGAAAATATAGACAAATGCAGTTTTCAAGTTCTTCGATCACGCAGACGAATTCTTTTTGACAATGAGAGATGGATAAATGAAGGCAATCGTTAGGCACACTCATACTTTTTGGGAGAGAAAGAGAAGGATAAGGGACGGCGAGTGGGCATGCTCGTTGGGATCGGTAGCGATTGTTAAGCACACACTATTTGTTTGGAGAGGGAGAAACCTTACTCTCATACTATGATATATAATATGATAATAATTACTCTTATTCAATAATGAAAGTTTCATCCTAATATATAGGGAATACATAAAATATCTTATTTAGAGTTAAAATAAGTAGTTATGGTAAGGATCAAATAAAAGCTTTGAGCAACCTACTATTATCTTAGTTTCACTTAGTGAAACTAAGAACCAATGAATTAAATTATGTTCAACGGATCCTTGTAATTTATAAAGAAAAATGAGTTGAACAAAAAAAACCAAATGATGTAATACTGATGTGTCGATTATGAGTCATAATTGGGAACTCAAATGTCCTCTATTCCATATGCTTCTATTAGTGAAGAATGATTAATTTCAATAATCAATTACGGAGGACTGAGCCTCGTATAAATAGTACAAAGGAATCCTAACTACGGAAGGAATCCTATACAAGGCAACTACCATATTAAGAATGATTACAACATTAATATTAAATATATATATACTAAGGTCGAACGCCAAGACTGTGTCTGAACTCGGAAAATATGAGAGACGGGAGCCCTTTGGTGAATATATCAGCATACTGAGAAGAGGAGGGAACATGCAGAACTCGAACATGACCAAGGGAAACTTTGTCTCTGACAAAGTGAATGTCGACCTCAACATGTTTGGTGCGCTGATGCTGGACGGGATTAGACGAAAGATATACAGCACTGACATTGTCACAGAAAACCAGTGTAGCATGTCGGAGAGGTTGATGAAGCTCAAGGAGAAGATTTCTGACCCAGCTAGTCTCTGCTACTGCATTTGCCACGGCGCGGTATTCTGCCTCAACACTAGAGCGAGAGGTGGTGGCCTGTCTCTTGGAGGACCAAGAGATGAGATTGTCCCCAAGAAAAACACAATACCCAGATGTGGAGCGGCGAGTGTCAGGGCATCCTGCCCAATCAGCATCTGAATATGCCTGTAAGGAATCTGTGCCGGTGCGGTGGAGAGTGATGCCATGGGTGGTCGTGCCGTGTATGTAGCGCAGGACCCTCTTCATAGCCGTGAGATGAGAGCTGCGGGGTGCATGGAGATGAAGACAGAGCTGCTGTACGACATATGTGAGATTGGGGCGGGTGAATGTCAGATACTGTAATGCGCCAACGATGGATCTGTAGATAGTGGGGTCCTGAAGGGGTGTGCCGGACGTGGCTGACAGCTTCGCCTGGGTGTCAACTGGCGTGGAGATAGGCTTGCAGTGAAGCATGTCAGCTCGCTCAAGGATCTCGTGTGCAAACTGTGTCCGATGAAGGAAAAGTCCCCTAGCCGTGCGCTGGACATTAATGCCCAGGAAGAAATTGAGATCCCCCATATCTGTCATGGCAAATTCCCCTTTAAGCTTCTGAGTCAGGCATGTGAGAAGAGTGGTGGAGGAGGCTGTGAGAACAATGTCGTCCACATATAGAAGAAGGTAGGCCATGTCAGCTCCCCGGGATTAGACAAAGAGAGATGTGTCGCTCTTGCAGCTACGGAACCCCAAAGTGAGAAGAAAACCTACAAAGCGCTGGTACCAAGAGCGAGGGGCTTGCTTGAGGCCGTAGAGAGCCTTCTTCAACCTGCAGACATACTTCGGTCGGGCTGGATCCTGAAACCCCGAGGGGTGACTGGCATAGACTGTCTCGTGAAGTGTGCCATTCAGGAAAGCATTCTTGACATCTAGCTGATGAATGGACCATCCCCGGCTGAGTGCAAGAGTGAGAACAATCCGTACCGTGGCAGGTTTGACAACCGGACTGAAAGTCTCGTCGTAGTCGATACCAAAGCGCTGATTAAATCCACGAACCACCCAACGAGCTTTGTACCTGGATAGTTCACCTGTAGGGCCAAATTTGTGGCGAAAAAGCCACTTACCGGTGATAATATTTTGGGAAGGGGAGGGGGGGTACTAATTCCCATGTTTCATTTTTAATCAATGCATTAAATTCATCACACATAGCATTGTACCAGTTTTGGTCCTTGAGTGCACTACGGTAGGTGGGTGGGAGTGGGGATATTTGGGCCATGGAGTTAAGGTTAAGGATGTGTTTGGGTTTGGATATGCCGACTTTGGACCGGGTTACCATGG